ATTAGGTTCAGTATTAGCTTTTATATTATTTAGTAATTCATTAAGATTATTTTTTTTATTGTTTCTGGATATGATATCATTGATTAATTGCCATTTATKTTTGGTGTTGTTCCCAGATTTATGTATTTGTTCTTTTTAATATTTAGTTTTAGTTTATTTTATTAAATATGTTAATTTGTTTCTGAATTTAAGKTAAAAGTCTTTTAGTTTTAGATTTAAAGGATATTTCCTAACTTGAAGGTGAAGGTGGTCTCTATGCCTTATGGAATTAATTAATGCGGTGGTGGCCCATGGTTTAATTTTTTTAGTTTTAGAATTAAAGTAAATTTCGGAAGAACCCTGTTTTTTAAGACTAGTTATTTTTTCAGTAAAATAATGTGCTGCTCTGTTAGTATCGATACTATCATACATTTCAGACCACTCGAAATTTTGAATTAGGTCAGTTAACTTAAATTCATCTACTATAAGTATTTTTAAAGGATTTGGTTTATTATGTCGGTTGTCTAGTATGTTCCCTATACTAACTATGTTTGGGTAATGATCTGTTATGTTGGATTTAATAACCATCAACTTTATGTGATCTAAAGACTTTGATTTAACAAAAATATGATCAATACAAGTATTGGACGCAGGTCTAGTTATGTTTTTAATTACAGGTGTAAAACCCAACTGGGCCATTAACATGAGATAATCTTCTTTTGTTTTTGAAGGTTTAAGTATGTCGATGTTAAAATCAACTAATATAATTTTATATTTAGCTATTTTTAGATTGGAACTACTCAGTATTATATCGTTTAATTCTTCTAGGGCTATATCAATAATACCATTAGGAGATCTATAAGTAGGATAGATTACAAAGGCCGTTTTTGATAATTTGAAAGAAATTTCTAAGTGCTGATGTGCTAAATTCTATTATCGAGACATCGGATAAGGTATCTTTTAAGAATACTACAATATCATCATTTTGATTTTTATTATTTAAAGTTGTATGAGTTGAATAACCTGAAATTGAGAAATTAGTGATTGATATATTACCATATATTTATTGGTGTTCATGTTATCTAAATTGATACATAGTTCATCAAAATGTTTTTTAATGCTACAGATATTCATAGTGAAAATATTTAATGAGTTTTGTAAATATATAAAGTTGTTTAGTTTATCAAAAGAACAATTAATAGTATTTATTGCCACATTATTATCAAATAATAATGTACCTACTATTAGTGTTTTTATTCATAACAGATATTGTTGAGGTGTATAAAGGTTAAAGTGTTAATAAATGAGCTTGGTACATAATTCTTTAGTAATAATTGAAAGCTGAAGTCTGTATAATGTTTTGTAGAAATAGAAAGCTGGTGTCTGGCGTGGTTGACGACTGCGGAAATTTGATGTATACATAATTACATACTGTATAACTTCATACTAACTTTAAAAAGCAATAATCACATTTATTTAAACAAAAATTTTTATTAATAGTTCATAAAAAAATACATACAAGTGCTTCTAATATTTAAACACCATCTTATATATAATTTTAATTTAAAGTTTTAAATTATTCAGCTATAATTGTTTTATCACATTTTATTATTTCAATGAACAAATTGTATACACGCACCTCTTTGATATAAAAATTATATTATATTATTATAATATAGATTATATATCGGTGGATTTATCTGACTTAATATAATATAAATTATGGCGATTTCCAAAGTCCTTGCGGAAGACGCAGTCGATTATTGATTCTAACATTTCAATTGGATAATTGTCATGAATGAAAAACAACCGGTTTTCCGTATAAATTTTTTTTCATAAATCACATTATTTTCAGACTTAAATTCAGTAGTATCTGATGCGTTTCTACGTCAGCGTCGGAGTGTATATCACGCACGGACTTCATCGAAGCCCGAAAGAATCGATATTTAAGGTAGGTTTGTTTTCATACCTATTCTATTATGATTTTATTATTAGTTATATTTTTTTTTTATAATACTACTCATTTATGAAACGTCACCCAAGCCTAAGTTTTAAAAAACCAGAACAATTACAAAAACTAAGGAAAGATGCAAGGAAACTTATATAATATATTACTTTTATGATAAACTACAACAAGTTTATATAGATAATAATATTTCTGACAGTATATTTGTCTTCAATTGTGATGAAAGTGGTTTTCAAACAGATCCATCAAAGCTGAAAGCTATTGGACAAACAGGTATTGCATTAAGTCGTATTTCAGGTGGGTCTGGCTGAGAATCAATTTCTGTGTTGGCCTGCTGTGCTGCAAATGAAAAATATTTACCACCTTTTATTGTATTGAAAGGAAATGGAGTACAAGCCAGATGGACATCTGAAAAATCCTATACCGGAACTTTATATTCAGTTTCAAATAATGGGTGGACGGAAGAGACACTTTTTTATCACTGGTTAAATACTATGTTTGTAGAGTATATCAATCGTCTACGCACTGAAAGAAATATGGAACAACAGAAGTTTGTACTGTTGTTCGATGGGCATTTTTCACATTCAAAACTGCGCATAGTTCATCTTGCAATTCAAAATAATATAAWATTAGTCAGATTTCCAAGTCATTTAACTGATCGTTTACAACCACTAGATMAATGTGTGCTTGGACCTCTAAAGACTGCCTGGAAYAAGCTTTTAATACAGTTTGGAAAAGATATGATAGGTAAAGGATCAGGACGTCTAACTAAAGGTATGTTTTCAGAGATGTTATGCAAACTGTGGACTAATGCAATGAACCCTAGCAACATTATATCTGGATTTTCTACAACTAGGTTGTTTCCTTTTGACAAATATAAGTTTCCTGTGAACGAATTAGATCCAGTTGATCTTGAAGAATACTTAAAATGTAAAGCCAATGAAGAAAGTAATCATACTTCAGTTTCAACAATTAAGCAACCAGATACTATTCAACATAACTTATCAGATATTCATGAAGATAATAACAACCAATGCTTTGRACAGTCATTTAAACCCGCAGTTGTAGAAAATCAAATTATTACATTAGAACCGTCAACATCAAACACTTCTATATGGACCAAATTTCCTATGGATCAAACTATTAATTGAATTAATTTTGCTTCAGGAAAAATAACTATGTATTCGGAAATATAATATATATATATAWTATATATAGTTGACCCAGCCATGCGTTGCTGTGGCTCAGTAATTATAATACATTGATTCAATTTTTTACTAAATCTTTGGTATAATCAAATTAATATTTTCTAAAAAAATWTAAAATAGATTCATTCATATGAGATTGAAAATAAAACGTTTWACCAAAATTTAAAAGTAATAGGTAAAGTATCGGTATGTTRAAATTAAGCACAAACAAACATATATACTTTCTGAATTTACATTTTATTCATCTTATATTAAATTATTGTTTGTAATCAGTGACTTACTTACAAAATATATTATATACATTAAAAACATAAAAATAAAATGTTTTAAATGAGGTAGATAACATTGACGTCGAACTATAATTTTTTAAATTTTAAATTATTAAAACTAAAAATTATCTAAGTACTACTTTGTGTACAACATTCCTGGTTAACCTGTCTTTCRCTAACACAAATAGATTTAGGTATTTAGGATTTAGAATAAAAGGTTTTCCTACACGTGAGCAGGCAACATATAGCTGTCCACGTGAGAAACATGTGTTTTCCAAATCTAAACTGCAAATAGACATTGTTTGGCCTTGAGATTTATTTTTATGGTCATCACAAAAGCTAAACAAATTGGAAATTGGAGCCTTTTAAACGGTATTCTGACACTATCGGTGGAWTACAATGCAACAGGACGATATCTCCCTTACATTTTCCCGTCAAAATTGTTGCTTTGAGAATATTTTCGGTAATTTTTTTTTATGACTAAACGTGTACACTTACATAATTGAGGTGGGTTTAAATTACGTAGAAGAATAATTGGTGAACCATTTTCAATTGAAGATTGTGTAGTAGTATTCCTGGCAAATCTAGAGAATTCAAAAATTCAGTTGGAAAGTTTACGGCTTCGTTTTCATCAATGACTGTGTCGATCGATTTAAAAGACATCAAATCACCGGGCAAAATCTGTTTTATATGGAAGTTAATTTCGTTCACATCAACGTTTCTTGCTGCCAAAATAGCACGATTACAGAGCCAATTGTTATCTAAATAATAATTCAATATATCCGGAAAGACACTGTCAATTAGTTTATTTCTCGTTTCAACAACAGTRCAGAAAATATCTGGTAATTTTATGTATTGTGTATTTTAATGCAACTCAATTTCACCATTTCCAATATCCAGCAATTGTTTAGAAAATACTTGTGCCGATGGATCAATTTGCAATTGTACTCGCATTTTCATAGTCAGTCGAAGTGTCTCAACACTTGTTCATAAAAAATATTTTTTTAAGCATGCGTTGATCTCATCGGCAAAAGTAGAGTAAAGATTAACTGGTAAAGTCTGGGGTGAAATCTAAATTTGTGAATTCGTCTTACTTCCGCTAGTAATGATTTTGGGCCACAATGCAAGAGCATTTTCGATGTCGATCTTCGAATATTAAACGTGTCACCCTGTTGTTGKYTGTGATCACTATTGGGTGTTTTTGATTCTCAGTTAAATTGGAATTTTCCAAGCGACCACCAACTCTGATCAATCCATCCTTCATAAATGGGGATAGGTTGCGGATTTTGCTTTCACGACGTAATTCTTTATCAGTATTGATCCTAACGATCTCTTCAGGAAATACTTCTTCTTCTTGAACTCGTTTTATTATTGATAAGGATGCGTTCTTTAATTCTAGGACAGAAAGAAATTATTTGGAGCTGTCTATGACCTTAGATTTCTTGTACTTAATGAAACGTAAGATCCAGACAATGGACCTTACTAAGGTGTTCCAATTGGAATGGGCGTTAAACAGCTTGTTGATAGTGTCACAAGCAACTAATGCAATTTTAACTGTCGTTGCTCTGGTATTTGATCGTCTTCAATTAATTGGGCAGTGGGGTGAGACCATTTTTCTTCTTCRGTTGACATCCATTTAGGTCCTTGCCACCATTCTTCGGCTACTATCAACTCTGATGAGGTTATTCCTCGTGATATTATGTCTGCTGGATTTCTATCTGTGCGTAAATGATGCCATTGTGATATATCTGTTAATTCCAGGATTTGACTCACACGATTTAACACGAAGGTTTTTAAGCGCACTCCTTGACTGTTTAGCCAACTCAGCACTATCATAGAATCGGTCCATAAGCGAAAAGTGTGTACACTGACCATCCAAGATTCAGCTACCTTATTCACTAGCTCGGCTAGCAACATTGCACCGTTCAATTCCAGTCTTGGAATTGTAGCTCCCTTCAACGGTGCAACCCGAGTTTTAGCACACAGTAGCCTTGAGTGCCATTWTCCATTGGCATCTCTTGACCGGACATATACGCAAGCGCCATATGCTTGTTCTGACAYATTGCAGAAACCATGCATCTCAACTTCATCCCTAGTCGCTGGGATTACCTTTCTTGGTATGATACAACACTTCAGTTATTCAAGGGTTTAGTAAAAGCCAATCCATTTATTTTGCATCTCGTCTGATAGTTGGGTATCCCAGCCCATCTTTGTTGCCCACATCTGCTGGAGAAATGTTTTACCTTTTACAAGCACTGGTGTACAAAGTGGACAAAAATCCTATTTAAATCTGAAAGTATCATTCCCTTGGTTAGCCTCTTCTTTCTTGTAACGGTCGATATAGTGAAGAAGAATTGGTCTGCTAATGGTTTCCATTCTAGTCCTAATGATTTCACTGTGTCTTGATCTCCAATTTCGAATGAGAATAAGGGTTCGTGCTCACGTTTTCCTATTAGATTCATAATGGAYAGAGAATTTGAACACCACTTCCTTAATGGTAATTTCCCAGAGTCTATGATGGAGTTGATTTCTTTTTGAAGTTTGGCACACTCTTCTATAGTGTCTACACCGGTCATCAAGTCGTCCATATAAAAATCATGGAGGATGGCACGAGCTGCTTGGGGAAAATTGAGTCTCTCTTCTTCCGCTAAAGATATTAAGCACTGCGTGGCTAGAAACGACGCTGGTGTTGTCCCGTAAGTAACTGTAGTTAATTGGTATGTACGTAATTGCTCATTTGGATCTGATCTCCAAACTATTCGCTGTAAATTCCAATCTTCCTTCGCTACCTGTATCTGCCGAAACATTTTTTCCACGTCAGACGTTATCACATATTGAAACTYCCTGAACCTGGCTAAGATTCCAAAAACATCTTCTTGGACTGTAGGGCCACATTTAAATACATCATTCAGAGATAAACCGGAAGAACTTTTTGCTGAAGCATCAAATACGACACGAAYCCTTGAGGTCAAACTGGAAGCCTTAATAATTAMTGCATGATGTGGAGGATAGAACGACGGTTCAGGTATGATCATTTCTCTAGTTACTTCTCTTGCGTGACCCAGCTTAATATAGTCGTTCATGAATGCAGTGTATTCTGTTTTCAATTTGTCATCACCTTACAATCTTCGTTCTACACTTAGAAACCGGGAAGTCGCCATAGTCAATGACGTTCCAAGGTTCTTCACTATTGATTTTTTGGGTAAGTGCACGATAAATCGACCGTCCATATCCCGACTTGTTGTCTGTCTGAATTGTTCTGCAGTCAGCTCTTCTAAACTTCTTTGGTTAGCTTTCGACAGACGCCCGTAAGTAGTATGTATTTGTATGTTCACAGCCAGCTTTTACGTGGTAAAAAAAATAGTTCAAGTGGAAATGTTCCSCTCCGAGAACACCGATTTATCACGTAACGCAATACGTTGATTACACAAAATTGTCCATCTATTAGCCGCTTGCATAAAAATATTTACCGCATCAACTATTTTTTATTAGATTTTCAGTTTTTTTTTAAATTTTTATAAAAAAAGTTTATTAAATAATTTGTGTTCTTTACTTGAAATATTATATTTATAAAAATTAGTGATATTTGATTGAAAGATTAAAAAAAAAAAATCGAAAATCTAATAAAAAAATAGTTGATACGGTAAATATTTTTGTGTAAGGCGCAAATATTATAGACGGACAATTTCGTGTAACCACCGTATTGTGTTACGTGGTAAATCGGTGATCTCGGAGGCGAACATTTCCCCTTAAACAATTTTTTTCCCACATAAAAGCTGGCTGTGATTTTCGGTTTTTTAAATTTWTTCAATCAAATATCGTTCTAGTAACGATATGAATAATGTTCTAGTTTTTAAAAATGTTTAAAATAATTTATATGTTTAATTTCAACTATTAAGTTACAATTTGTAACTTACAAGTTAATCATTTTACATTTAGTTACTGCTGATCCGTCGTGCAATCAAGTTGTGTTTTTCAAGTTATTATTTCAATTAATAAAAAAATGAATTTACCAAAACTTTTAACCGATTTTCAATCTAATGAACTAATGTTCATCGTATACGAAATAATTCAGTTCCAACCCATCCAGGATATACTTCAATTTATTCAAGATTAAAATCTTTCAAACATTTTCCTTCTAATTTTTTTCAAAATAAATATGCTCTAGCTGAATGTGGATTAAAATATACAGGAGTAGAAGATATCGTCGAATGCTTTTGCTTTGGACTTATTCTTCATAATTGGAAACAAGAAGATGACGTTTGGATTGAACATTGCAGATTTAATCCAAAGTGTATTTATGCATTATTAATGAAGGGAAATCAGTTTGTTCAAAAAGTGTTAAGTAAATATTGTAACAATGAATATATTTGTAATTGTGAAACAAGGTCATACCACCGTGTGCTAAATCATGTTCTTTCATTATATGTTGTAATAAATAAAAAAAAAATATTATAAACAACTTATATGTGTTAGTTTTTTATCTAATATCTCGTGGACGTATAGCTCAGTGGATTAGTGCGTTAAGTTAATTTCATGTTTCAGGTAAGTAAGTATAAATAATTCCCTCTACTCCCTTCACTACACACTAATCTACTGAACTGTATGTTCACATTTTTTTTTACCATTTTTACAACAGATTTAGTATATGATATGTTTACAGATGAAGTTAAACCTCAGTTCAAAGTATATGTTCCATCAGTTACATTATACTAGATTTTTTTATATTAATAGTCTGAAACATTGTTATAAATATCATTCATCATGGTTCTACCTATAATCGTATCAAAATCCGGTGTTGTACGATTGAGAACGTTTTACCTTTTTAGCAACACGATTRAGAACGATGTCGGCAGATCAAAGAAACAATATTTTGTACCTTAAAATCRAACGATTGAGAACGATTTTTCTAGCGACGTTGCCATTTATTGGATTTTGATGCAAATGCATCTTTTTTTGGTGTTATGAAACGTTGTTTTGTAAGTATAAAATGTACGACAATTCTTGCGATTAACAAGAGYCATTTTAGAGCCATTAACAATTTTATCATGGCTAGGCTTTTCCGCTCAAACTATTGCCGTTATATATACCTATATACCATACATATATACATAGGTACAAGTTATCGTCGATAACAACAGCTAGGCCTCGATAAGTATTACTGAATTAGTAACCAATTAGTACGTCCAGAACTAAACAAGTAACAATACTAAATACGATAACGATATGTACACTGTACGTATCTGCARATATTCAACTGTAAATAATTATTAATATTGCCAAATTCAGTTGTTCGTGGTGGACAGTGCGGTAACAACGTGTAATAGTGTATAATAGTGTAATAGTGGTTTATAATGGAAAACTTTAAAATTATTACGTCTGAACGCGGAAAAKAGCTTGTATTATTAAATAATGATAAATATTCATATGTAAGGACACGCAAAGATGGATTAATGAAATGGAAATGTTCCAATAACAGTTGTAGTGCCAGTTTATTAACAAAAATAGACAAAACTTTCCATTCGTCAAATGGTAAACATGTAAATCATGCAAGTAATAACAACGAAAAAATTGAAAGACAGATTTTGAGGGAAAATTGTAAGCGAAAAGCTGAAGAAAATACATCGACAAGACCGTTAAAAATTATTAGAACAGAGTTATTAAACAGTGACTTACCAAATATTATGAACAATGATATTACATCAGTGCGAAAGGCGATTTATGATAAAAAAAGAAAACAGTATCCAATTTATCCTACTTCTTTAAATGAAGCTATATCCCAATTAAAAAATATACAAAATAATGATTTATGTATGTTTAAAAGTGAACAATTTATTTTTGTTCCTGAAACAAATGACTTCGTTTGTATAACAACTAGCCAAAATTTAAATTTTATGTCGAAACAAACCGATTTTTTTGGAGACGGTACATACGATTTTGCACCAAAATTTTTCTTACAACTATATACATTACACACATACGTGAWTGGTTTTTACGTGCCTGTTGTTTATTTTTTTTTACCAAACAAAACAAAACAAATTTACATTATAATGTGGAAGTATCTTTTGCAAATATGTCCGGCTCTAAACGTTAAAAAGCTGCATCTCGACTTCGAAATTGGTGCTCACGAAGCAGTCAAAGAAATTTTTCCCAATGTCATTATCGAAACTTGCCGTTTTCATATAGCCCAAGCTTGRTGGAGAAAGGTAAGAAATACGATAATTTTGGATTTTCACTCTAATTAGTAACATTCATAWTTTATATTATCTGTATGACAGATAAACGGAGAATCAAAGTTGAGAAGTGCATACAAAGACAACAATGACGAATTAGGTCAATGGCTTAAATTATTTTTTGGTTTGCCTTTTCTACTTCCCACTGATGTCGATGATGCGTTTACAAAACTTATGGCAATATGTCCARACTTAGAAGTTGGGAGTTTATTTTCAGACTACGTGTTAAACACATACATTGAAGATGATTCGCTATTTCCTCCTATTCTTTGGGCTCAAGTACCGTCATTAAACCCAAGGTACTTAATAATATAATAATAATAATATATATAATAATATATATAATAATAATAATGTATTCTATAGTTATTTTTAATTATATTTATCTGCTTTTATTTAGTCTGCATGTTTAAAGTAATTTATTATTTTATTTTTAAGAACCACCAATGGAGCAGAAAGTTTTCACAGAACTTATAATGGACAATTTTACAGCACACATCCTCCTACACATGCAGTAATTTCTGTTTTAAAGGAGA